CACACGGGCATGACGTTTCCGGAGGGAGGGCAGGGAGAATGGCTGCAGCGTGTCAAGATGGTCTGTTACTATGGCGACCACCGGGCGGGATCTCTGTGCGATCTCTTTCCGCGTGTCCTCTCACCGGTAGTGACGACACTGATACCGTCGAAGCGAGAAGGAAACTATCCGATACTTGTAGCGTGCCCGTATCGATCTCTTGTCGTTTCCTATTGTCAACATGGCAACTATTGTTGATCTTCGCGCGGATGATGGTCTCATCACAACTCTAATTCTTAATACCAGTATTGGTATCATAAAGTTTGGTACCCTCGTATTATTATAATTATACCGTTTACAATATCCCAGAGAAATCGCACAACCAAATCGCTCCCCTCCCTCCTCGGGTGCGTTCTTTTCAAATTATAATTTTTAATTGTACGCTCTTCTCAACCGAGCACTTCATTTTGGCGACCACAAGCGACCTGCGAGTTCGAGGGTCACTGCCTTCTTGCCGCTGGTGTTTTCCACCCACCCTTATGGACTCGACGCCGGTAGCCTGTCCCTTTCGCAATCTTCCCCACAGATCGATGAGAGCCCGCTATTAGGGACAGACACACCGGCGACGCAATTCGATCGACAAGAACACGACCACCTCTCGCCGGCGCTCGGTCGATTCGCTATTCCGCCACAAAATTAAACGAGAAATCTACCTTTGACATTTTATTCAATTAATTACAAGTCCTAGTGTAGATTGGAGTCCTTTCAACCGTTCTCTAGACAATTCGCCATAGGTGACATTCGCGACGGAAATGCATATTCTCAATTCTAAATCTTCTCATATATTTTTGATTTATGCAAATACATAATAAATATAACATAATAAATATAACAGTTCAATTAATAATTTTGAAATTATATTTGAATATAAATATTCTTGATTATTTAATATATTTCTAGGAGTATATATTTCTAGGATCTTGAATATGCAAATATTAAATGAGTGATTTCTAACAGCGATGTAACTTCAGATTTGCAATATCTTATATCTTGATCTTATCAACATAGATGAATGATGTTACAAACGTCAACAGTGATTGTCTACATATACGTGTGAATGTAAACTGTCTCTGCATCCGTAAATCTTGTAGACAATGCGTAATTCAGATTGCACGCTAATAATATCCGACAAGGGAAGGGAAGTTCAATGAACCCCTTTTAGGATTTTCTCTTTCGGCAAAGTTGAACTTATTAATTTCTTTGACAATATATGGTAGCTTTCTCTGATACAAGACAAACAATTATTTATTTTAACGGATAAACATTCAATTAATTCAAAATATAAATTTATTTATTTTATATAAATTTATTTCAAAAATGATTCCACTTGACTTCTCCTAATTTTGGTATTCCTCCAATATACAAAATTTCAATATAAAACTCAATTATCAAAATAGCAATTAGATTAAAAATCGATAAAACAAATCCGAAACTACAGGAAAAAAAAATTCTGGTTAAAAATGGACAAGTCAGAAATTCCGGATTGAAATTATCAGATTTCTATTCAGAATCAACCAGAAGTTTCGTTACTTTAAACTGAATTCTAATAACTTCAATCAGAAACTTTTGATTTGTCCATTTAAAAACAAAATTTTGGTGTAGCCAATAAAATCATTTTTCTCGTGTGATTTTTCAGATCGTCTGAAAAAAAAAAAAATTTTAAGGATACTTAAACAATTGTCAAGAGATTCGTGCCTAAATGAAAGTGTGCGGTTTTTGTAACAGAATGGATCGCACGCATCATAAATTCCGTTGTATCCTAAACCCGAGCGAATCTCCCTCACTGGGCGTGTACGCACCTTTCCGGACATTCTGTACCTCGCACCGGTGAACCAAAAAAAGGAAAAAGGAAAAAAAAAGAAAAAGGATCGAGCACGCCTGGAGCGATGGAAGAGTCTCGGAGTCTCTCGAGCCTTTTCAGACGGCCGCTCTCGGAGCCGCGAACGGAATCGAAGATTATTCCGTCACCGGGAAATGCCACTTTGTTATTACCTGGATGTCGCACGCGCGCACTTCTAATCCACAGGGCCTGGACGATCGATCTCTCTCTCTCTCTCTTCTTTTTCTCTTTCTCGCAGTCGACACTCCTCCAAAGAAGGACC